TATTATTATTATATTTATTAAATATTCGGTTATTATTATATGTATATGCATTAGATATAATCGATGACATGAGATAAACTGATAAAATTGAAGGTAAACCGAGCGAGGGCCGTTGCAATGTATCGACTTGGGAAATGAGCATTCAAGAATGACAACTATTAAAGTGATAGTCACCAGTAATGATGAATAATAAAAATGAACGAAATAATCAACAAATAAATTAATCCTGATGAGCATCCATTTGTATTTATTCGTGGCATTTGTCATTAGTGATGCAAATTGAATTAAATGTGGATCGTTATTGGTTGTAGATAAACTGTTGGTGTTATTGTTCGATGCTTACGTTATAATTAGCATTATATAGTTTGATTAGTATAATAAATAATATATTTATTGTAATAATCAAAAATATATTAGACATAATGAATAATAACCTTGAAGAGATTATTGAAGATCTGTCCATTAATTGAAATTCGTTGAATGACACCCTTGAAACGTTTACGCATTTCGGGTATGACGGGTGGTATCAAATGATCATTGGGCACTCCACCAATATAGATGTCCTCACCGAATACATCCAAATGATTGTTTTTTGGCTTAAATTTTATTAATTAATTATTGATAATAGTTTTGTAATAATTAATACAGTTGAAATATGATTTGAGTGCACAGTTGCTATGAGTTCGAGAATAAAAAGCTTGAATGTGAAACTTGTCCAGAACATTGCTTCGCATAACGTGGGTGGGGGTAATGGCATTTAATGATTTGACATGAATTAGCAGGGATGACAAATTAATTTTTTTCCCACATATTTCTTTCAAATAATTATTATTTCTTCATCGTTCACGAATAATTGCCGAATGGTATTTTTATAATACTCTTTTAATGAAAACGAATTGAACGATTAGATAAAGTGATGAATTGTTGACATTAAACCCTTTGATCAATTGACCAAGTTTTTGATTTTCTCCTGATTTCTTGCTCCCCAATCAGATGAAGTGATCTATCAGTAAGCGAACAACTCTAATCATATACCCCTTAAAGGAAACTCGGAAGCGAGAGCGTGTTAAGCACCGATTTAGAATATTTTGATTGTATTGCATAATAATCATCAGTCGCATTCGTGTATGTGTGATATGAACTTGAGATGAACTGATAATAGTAATGAAGACTGTTGCTGCCATTATTTTGTTGCTACTGATCAAGAACTTACCTTTAACATAATACAGTTTCTTTCAACTAGATATCAATTATTTTTCAGCATGGATACTAAATAATATTAATAAAACAACAATTACTATAATAATCATAAATAATAATGCTATTTTTTATTATTAAAATAATAAAAAACCAACTAAAGATATTTGATGACTAATGAATGGAGAATAGTCCACTTGAATTGTACCATTTCGGAGATTTCTTGTGAAACGAATCGAATGAAAACGATGGTTTGATAATGTGGCTGGTGCTCTTGAATTCAATTAACTTTATTAATTGATATTATTATTTATGAATCTTTATACACTAACACCAAAGTAATAGTAATAAATATATCAAAAACTGACTTAACATAAGCGATTCCTGAACCGAGATTCCAAAAGAAGTGCGGTTGTGATGCAATCAGAAGCAAAGCGATAAAATCGCCCTTCATGTACTGTTTGCGTGCATTCGAACCGTTTCCCGTTTCCTTCAATCTCGCCCAATAGAATACCAATCCATCGGAATCAAACGCTTTCAACCAGATATCGATATCCATCGATCGACGAACATCGATCTTAACTTTTTCCAATCGAATAACGTCATCTCCTTCAAGCACCACTATTCCACGCTCGAGATCATCTGAAGTTATCACGATTATGTTTATTAGTATTAGTATCATTGCTATTATTATTTATGATTGTTATTATTTACTATTGTTATTACTGTTAGTCAAAATCGACCGTAAAATATTTTAAAATGTACAGAAATATTCATGCCTTGTTAAAAGAGAGAAATAACAAAATGCTTATCATACAATCTGATTTATCATCATCGATAAACGGCAATATCAAGTATGAAAGTGAAAACAAATTTGTAGCAACAAATCAGTAGTACTTACCTTTATCACATGTTGCGTTATTATAACATCGCTCCGCACACCATTTCTCGCTGCATCCCGCTTCATTCTCACACAATTCACCTGAATTCTCATATACTTTTTAATCAGTTTTCATTTTACTCCTTACAAATATTCATTTGTATTTTCATGCGATAGGTTTTATGACATGTAATCAGGTGTGCAATCCGCAACGATAAATTCATTTCTTAAACTGAGCAAGTGATCAGTCGCTATGCTAACATTGTTATTTTCTGATACTATCATGAATTATCGCTGATCACATTGATCACATATTGCTGCCTTTTGGAGACCACGTTAATTGTCATGAAACAAATTCATCTCAGAAAGTGATCTTACGAGAATTGAATATTCATCGATATTATATTTAAAATCATATTCATAAATTTTTTTAAAAATCATACTCATAATTTTACTCATTCAAAAACATCACATGTAAATTCATTATCCAACTCAAGTAATCTTTCTTTCATTAATCTTTGAATATTTCATTAACTAACTATCATCTCATTCAGTACATTCTCTCATGGATTTTATTTATTTTGATCATCTTTACATTGATATATTATACGTAATGATAGCAATATTAATGTTAATAATAAGATGAATAATGGGTAATATAAATCTACAATAATGCAGCAAAAATAAATGATACTAATGATAATGCGAGTAATAATCACCGCTAAATTGAGGTTTGCACTCGCAGAAGCGTGATGCACCGGAATGTGTTTTGACGCATTTAGCTCCATTCAAGCATGGATTCGGTTCGCATACGTCTATTTTACATTTATCTTCAATTATTATTCTTATTCTACAGATGTACACGAATTATTTTTGTATTTATTAACATATACATAATATTATTCATTATCATTGTTAGTATCATATGGTGATAGCTAACAAGATGAATCTTTATATTCTTTAAAAATCTTTTAAAATGTTCAGAAACAGTGTGGTTTAATTTTTGTCATTGAATATTTGATATCCTCATGTAATAGAGAGTTCATCAATGATATCTTGATATCTTTATAGCAAATCATTGTGTAGGTGTAAATTGAGCAATGATTACCTTAAAGGCCCAAACGAATGGAACATAATGTAACACTTATGTGCACATAAAAATTCTATATGAAATAGTTTTACATTCTCGGAAAAAAATTTTACAAAAAAATATTAATGGCTATACTAATGACAGTACCGTATCAATTACATGAGAATTTTTCCCTAAACACATCAAAATTGCTCCAAAAAAAACATCATTTTCAATAAATTCTCAAAATCTTTCCGGTTAAATTTCAAGCTTTCCTATTGTTGAGAGGCAATCAATCATCCGATTGAATGAACAAAATTTCGATGTTTTGAATAGACGAAAAGAAAATGAAAAAATGAATTGCTCAACGAAATTGTGCAATGAAAATCAATACGATGCCAATTTTGGAGGTAAATTCCC